CAACCCCCACCCAATCACTCTGCCCCCAGTGATCTCACACTCTGCAGGAACCACCCCCATCTCATCACCCCGCCCCCAGTGACCTCACACTGCTGCCGGTACCGCCTCCATCCCATCACTCCGCCCCCAGTGACCTCACAGTGCTACAGGTACCACCCTCATCCCACCCCCCTGCCCCCAGTGAGCACATGGCATCACAGTTTTGTGCAGTTTTCACAGGGATGCCCCATTTGGTCCCATCTGGCCCCATCCCCTGGGGGCAGATCCGTCCCCCAAGAGGAGTTTGATTTCCCTTTTCTCACCCCGATCACAGCTGAGGCGCAAAGCCAATCTGACCGAGACTGTGGACACCATCCTCTTACCCAGGAATAAGGTGAAACCGGGGACTGTGTGCAGTGTGGCTGGCTGGGGCCAGACTAGTAGCAAGGTAAATGCCCAGTCCTCCCAGACCCTGCAGGAGGTGGAACTGACAGTCATGAGCAAGGACATCTGTCTGTCCCGACCCTATCTGCGCTATGACCCGTCCGTGATGCTGTGCGTGGGGGATCCCAAGGAGAGGAAGGCATCCTTCTGGGTGAGTGTGGGATGGGGCACCTGGGGCCCGGGGCAAGGTGCTGCTATAACAGGAGACTGACAGAGCTGCGCAGAATGGGGAGAGCCAGGATCCATGGTGAACAGGCAGATCCTGGGAATGAGCGACTGGAATGGGCCAGATCCTGGGAATCATGGATGGAAGCTCGAAATCAGGGGCAAGAAACAGGCAGATCTTTTAAATGGGGAATAAATCCTAATAATTTGATACAGAAACTGGCAAGATCATAGAAATCAGGGACAGAAATCTGCTGCATGTTCAACAGGTTCTAGAATCAGGGACAAGAATCAGCCACATGGATCTTACTAGTGAGGGACAGATTCTGGAAATCAGGGTTAGGAATCAGCAGGATCCTAGGAGTCAGAGAGGGGAATTGCTGAATCAAGAACCTCAGGGGTGTATCTGAGAAATCAGCAGGAGATCCTAGAAATCAAGGGCAGGTGTCAGCCAGATGCTGGAAATCAGGATTTGGAATCAGGGATGAGAGCTGAGCAGATTAAAGACATGAGGGATGGATGCTAGAAATCAGACGTATGAACTGGCCAGATCCTAGAAATCAGGGACAGGGGTAGATTGGATCCCTGGACCGGGGGGTGGGAGGCCTGGGTGTGTCCCAGGAGTGACTTAACCATGAGTCCCCAGCCCGGTGGATACAGAGCTGGATTTCAGGACGGTGAATACAGAATGCAGCCTGCCCTTCTCTTGGACTTCTGTAACCCCATGTCTGGCGTTTGCTTCTCAGGGTGACTCCGGGGGCCCCCTGGTCTGTAAAGGGAAGGCCCAGGGCATAGTCTCCCATGGCAGCGCTGATGGGTCACCACCCAGGCTGTTCACCAAGGTCTTCAAATATGTCTCCTGGATCAAGAAAACTTTGCGCAAGCTGAAGCCTTAGAGGGGATCATCCATCTCCTCTAGCATGATTGGAGAGATAGCTGGTATTGCAGAGCCATGGCTGGCTGGGTATTGCAGCTGGATGGATGGATGTGTAGCCAATGATTTTGATTTATTGTCCATTTATTTTTGTTATGATTAACTAACCTGTAATATCGTATACAATCATTGTATGCTAAATAGAGTTAAACTGTTGGATTATAGAAGTATAAAATTGATCAGTAATAGAAGCGATAATTTGCTATTAGGTATCTAAATAAGGAAGTTTGAAACGCAAGGCCTGCAGGCTAAGGTCTGTATGATTTTAGCTTAGCCATACTACGCCATAGGCTTAAGAAATTCTTGACATAAGTAAGTGACCAAAGAATGACCCTGTCAAGGCCGATTCCCCACTCTGTCACTCCAAGTGCAGAAGGTGGGGCCTGCAAGGATTCTAAAAATTAATACTGGCCACTCCAGGTGTGTATTAAACTCCCAAGATTACAGCTTCTTTCTGACCTTGGCTTGGTAAACGCTGCCACCACCCAAATGCAAAAAAAACCCTTTGACCCAGGAAGGAACACTTGGGAATTCCTCCCTGTGGGGTACCCTCAAGCCCTTTCACCCCCACCCCTAATCCCCAGGGGAAGCGCTGAGAAAGAAAACAAAAGAAATTAGCTGTTGCCACCAGCTAATCAAACAGCATACACAAACCTCTTAGGACACCAAAAATCCAGTCCTGCTCTTAAAAAAGGTACATTTTATTAAAAACAAAAAGGAAGAAAATACATCTGGAACTTAGGCTTTTGCTAGATTTTAAAAAAGAGCAATTCAA